TAGGTAGGGAGTTCGGGCCTGCTGGTCCCTTCCCTTTGGTGTTTGTCCCCTCGGTATGCTGTCTTGAGTGCCGAGCTACTTCCCCTTTTTGCCACGTGCGGTGATTTGCGAGGTCGGGCCAAATCATCCTTCATCAGACTCCAAACTCACAATAATTTGAACCAATAAAAAAGAAAAGGGAAATTAGAACATACATAACGAGAATGGTAGTTGAAATCTCAGGCCAAAAGTAATCGACAAATGTGTTGAGATTGGAGAGCATGTGAAGCTTCAACAACGGATGCTGCTCATTCAACATCGCTAATAGGCCAGTTGCAGAGCTCACCATCGTCGCCATGGAAGCAAATATTGCACGTTCTCCTTCCTTTTCTAGGGTTTCATCTCCATTTTTCTACAACTTCCACAAGACTAATAATTGATAAGATCAAATCATGGAATTTTAGGGTTCGGATGAAAGTTTGGAATAACACTCTCAAAACCTAGTATCGATGCCACGACCTATGGACTCCAAATGGAAGAAATTGAAAGAAGAGAAGTCATGGAAGCAAATATTCGTCTTCTGTCTAACTTTGCTTGCTCACCCCCTATTCTCTTTTTCTTTGTTCACCACATCCGACTTCACAAAGTCCAACACAAATGGCAGTTCCAAAACTTGTGAAAGACGCAGTTCCAACTACAATCCGTGTTTTGACACCATTTTAGTCAATGCCACTACACTGAACTTCTCAAAATTCATCCTTTCATCAAACCCTCTTGAGAGTTGCCAAGTGCCAACAAATATGGACTGTAGTTGGGTTTCTTCCTCCTAAAAACAATATACAGGGGCTTGCCATTTTTCATCCTTGAGTACTGCTCCCTCCTCAGAAGTCATAACATGAACGGATCTTCCTATAGAGAACCACCCTGTGTAGAAAAGCCAATGGCCAACCCTCTTGTGACAACATCCTCATACTACCAAATGAAATCAACCTTCTCCTAACCATTGCAAAGGAACCCATCAGACGTATTGGTAGCCAAGGTGGTTTGCACCATCTAGCTAGTTGGGTTTAGGGGATCCCCACTTGAAAATGTTGAGTCTTGCACACCTTGAAAGAGTTTGAGGTGTAGTAGAAGGAAGTGCCGTTGTTCCATTCGAGGTGGTAAGGAAGTCGGCCCAGCTGATTGTCCTGGATGATGTTTGAGTTGCGGCTTTGGATGGCTCACTCAAAATAAACTCATATACCTTAATATTTGAGCATGGAGGCTTTGGATGCCTTTGATGTCTCTAAAATCACATAGATTTCTTATACGRTATTAATTAGACTATATTAAACAATATGACACCAACCTTATAAATTTTGATAGTTTATTATGCCTCTTTCTCGAAATAAACCCCTATACCTTAATAATTGAGCATAGAGGCTTCAAATGTATTTGAATATCATAGAGGCTTCAAATTTCTTATACCGTATTAAACAATATCACGCCAATTCCATAATCCCTGATAGTTTGYTGTCTTTCTTACTTAAAACAAGCCCCTATACTCGTATAAATTATACATGAAGGCTTTGGTTGTCTTTGAAGATCTCTGAAATCTCATAGAAGTTTTACCCTGTTCAAAATCGCATAGAAGTTTCTTGCTCAATCATCTATTTATGAAATTTTACCCTGTTCAAAACCTTTCATCCTAAAAGTCTAAAATCCATTCAAAAAATAAGTTTCACCCTATTTAAATCCATTCACCCAAGAACCGAGAGAAAGAGAGAGTAATCAGTCTATGTCTTTCATGAAGAATAAAGGGTATAAGACTTGCCAAAAACCTTCTTTTCTACCACTGTCCTTCAAGTTTTCTTCCATTGCCCACTCCAAAGTTCATTTAATTTTCTACCCATTTAGATGCTCTCTTCATTGTTCTCTATCCCCAAAACACAGACAGAAAGGACAAAAAATACAGAGGATTTGTCGAAAAATGCTTTTTTCAGTTTTTTTGTTTGAAAAGAAATGAGTAACAGGAATATTAACCCACCTCTTGTTACCATTTCACGATTCCATAAAGAGAGACGTGTTACAACATGGATGGAAGTTCAGCTCGTATTATAACAACAAAATGTGTGGAGAAGAGAAGAGAGAGGGAACAAGAAAAGAAGAGGGTTAATTGAATTTCATGTACTTTTTTGATGGGAGGAGAGCAACGTGTTTGATTCTCGTTGGTTGGGATAGAAAATTTTCTGTCCCTAGGGAACAGATGATGCAAGCTCGTGAACTGGGGTTGTGGGAGATTAAATTATATATATGTGAGAGATTAAATTACATATATACTCTCTATATACTTAGACATGTAAGGGTAGAACCTGTCTAATAAAAATTCTAGTATAGATTATTAGAAGTTTCCACTCTTTAATCTTTACTCTTTATTATGTACTTTTTATATTGTTAAATGCTTAATTATTTTATTTTATTTTTAGAATTTTAAGATTAATTCTTTTAATTTTAATATTTTTCATGCATTTTTTAATTTTATTTATATTTTAAAATGACTCAAAATAACCCATGGATCGATCCTAACCCGAACATTTACGATTAAGGTCTGGCATTTACTGACACAACCTGAAATTCAATCGGACTGAAATCAATGCGAGGTATTTTGATCCAACCCGAACCAGAGCCAGCCAACCCAATTGCCAAGTCTAACCGTGGGATCCGAGATGTGGATGTACTCTCTCTCTAAATATATTATACACGCGGCAAGTTATAATGAAACCAGATCCGGCTGTGGTATCGGTCGACAGTCGTTGTTACCCCACAGACAACTCTGGACRGTTTAGATACAAATCTAGTACAGGAGGAGAGAGAGAGAGAGAGAAAGCGCGCTTGCGAGCAGGCGTAGTCCGAGAGTTCTGCACCGTGCTTTAGTGCTGAAGTCGACACGGCAGCAGCGGATCCGTGCTCGCTCCAGAGAGACTGCTTTACTGTTCTCAACGACATTGCACTGTGGGCGGACTGAAACACAGAGAGGAGGAAGGAGATGGTGGTAATGCTTTCGATCTTTCTCCTGTATGGTATTTTATTTTATTTTATTTTATTTCGGATTCTGTTGCTTCTGTGGTTAAAGTATTACGCCATATGTAAGATTCCGACATCTTTATTTCTTTATGGATCTTCCCCTTTTGTCCTGGACTCCTGGTCTGATTGATTCGAGCCATCTAGGGTTTGTTCTTTCTTTCTGGGATAAAATAAAGATTCCCTTAAAAAATTAGGATTCCATAGCCCACTTGAATCAACAGTCTTGAAACCCATCGACTGGTTAAGTAAAGTATGAATGTGGAAGAATAATAGAAGGGGGTGTGAGAAATTTATGTCTAAAAGACTTGAGCGGCTTCTATTGTCTTCAAGATTGGAATCGGTTATGGTTCTTCAAGCACTTTACTTTACTGATGCTTTCCTAAGGACTAAGATGATTCGTTTTATTCTTTTTAGTACATTGGGTTCCTAAAGGCTCGAAATACAGGAGTAGAAATGGGTATTTGGTTATGCTAACTTGACTCTAGCTATGGCCTAAACTGTTAAAATTATTGAATTTGAAGCAAAAAGAGGGAAAACAATAGAAGAGAAATGTTGGGGTTAAATCACTGTTTGAGAGGTGACAGTTGTTCAGAGAGAACAAGTAAAACAGAAATTTATGGTATAAAATAAAGAACGAAAACGGGCGGTTGGGAAAGATGAATAGCAGAAACATTTGAGCTTCTTGATGTTAGCATGGACTTGTTCTTTTCTTCATAGTATTGTAAATAGGGTTCGACTATGATGCTGGAAAGACATCAAGTGGTATTTGTAAAAGTTCACATGGGATTTTGATTTGTCAAAGCTCTTCCTGTATCATGTCTTTCTGGCAGCCCTCCCACTTGCCCACATTTTCTTTTTTAATTTTTATGTTTTGAAGGATGACATGAATAAAATCATAGAGAATTGTTACAAGAGGTCCAAATCAAAGTCCACTGCTGTGGTTAACCACCACTTGCCCACTTTCATTCATAACCTCAATTCCTTTTGGCCTCATCAGGAAAAAAAATAGAATGCCCAGCTTCTGGGCCTTGTCTAGAATTCCTATCCATTATAAGTTTTTATTCTTTTTAAACAATTCAAAACATTAAGATCTTTCTTTTCCATTTATATGATTTACCACTTGCAGCCCATAAACCTACTGATGTGCTGAGTTTTATCGTGTATTTATCGAAAGTTATTTGGGAGTCTATCATTGAAAATGTTAATAAAAGGTTGGCATCTTGGAAGACAAAATACTTGTCTAAAGGGAGTAAAGTCACTCTAATAAAAAGTGTTCTTTCTTCTTTACCACTTTACTACATGTCTTTATTCCCAATCCCAGCGAGAAAAGATATGGTTTTGGAAGAGAAGATGAGAGACTTCTTGTGGAAGAGGTGTAAGGAGGAAGCCAAATGTCATTTGTTGAATTGGAAGATAGTTTGCATATCCAAAGCTCAAGAGGGCCTGGGGATTAGAAGACTAAAGGAAGTCGRTACTGCCTTGCTAGGAAAGTGGCAGTGGAGGTTCAATGAGCAGCCAAACAGTCTATGGAGAAGGCTAATCATTTCCAAGTATGGCTCTAGTAGC